TTCTTTTTTTTTTTTTTTTTTTGGTGGAACGGAGGTTTGGACTCAGGACTTCGCATTTGCAAAGCAGGTGCTCTACTGCTTGAGCTACACTTCCAGTCCATTTTGCTCTGATTATTTTGGAGATGGGGTCTAGGAAACTATTTGACCAGGCTGGCCTCGAACAGAGGTCTTCCCAATCTCAGCCTCCCAAGTAGCAAGGATTACAGGTGTGAGTCACCAGCACCTGGCTCTACCTGCTCTTGATGAAGCAAGCTGGAAGAAACTAGGCAGAGACTATCAAATTTCCAACTGCCATTTTTAAAATGAATTTTGTGTCCTTTTTAAAAGTTATTGTACATATGTACATATGTATTTAGCAATACTGAGGTTTGAACTCAGGGCCTTGAGATTGCTAGGCAGATGCTCTGTCACCTGAGCCATACCTCCAGCTCTACTTTTTTTTGGAGGGGTAGGGGAGTACTAGGGTTTGAACTGAAGGCTTTGGTGCTCCACCACCGAGCTTGAGCTCTTTTTGCTTTATTTATTTTTCAGATAGGTTATTCCATTTTGCCTGAGGCTGGTCTTGAACCTCAATCTTCCTGATCAGAGTAGGTATGCACCACCACATCCACTCTGTTGTTGTTGTTGTTGTTTTTAAGATAGGGGCTTGCTTACTTTTTCTGCCCAGGCTGGTCATTAAAACTTCCAAATTATGCATGTGAGCTGAGTGCTGGTGGCTCATGCCTGTAATCCTAACTGCTTGGAAGACTGAGATTGAGGTCAAGGTCTGAGGCCAGCACCTGCAAAAAGTGAGTGATTCCTCATCTCAAGCAATAGCTGGGTGCAAGCCCATCAGGGTGCAAGCCTATCATCCTAAGCTATTCGGAAGGCTGGGAAAAAAAAAAAGTTGTGAGACTTCCTATCAACAGAAAAAAATGTCACCCCAGTGACAGTGGGAAGCAAAAACTAGGAGAATCAAGGTCCAAGCCAGCCTGAGCAAAAAGTAAGACTCTATCTTCAAAATCAGAATAAAAAGGATTGGAGGCATAGCTCAAGTGGTACAGCACCCGCCTAGCAAGCATGAAGCCCTGAGTTCAAACCTCAGTACTGCCAAACAAACAAAAAAAACTACACAAATACATGGGAGATGTAGGTAGGAGGACCATGGGCTAAAGTTGGCCCTGGCAAAAACAGGAGATCTTATCCAAATAATAACTGAAAAGAAAAAGAAAATGAGGACTGGGGATGTGGCTCAAGTGGCAGAATGCCTGCTTAGCAAGTGCAAGGCCCTGAGCTCAAACACCAGTACCACCAAAAAATAAATAAAATCCCACATGTAAGATATGTTCCTTCTAGAGAAAAACTTACAATACATGTAAACAATAACAAAAGATGAATTACTTTTAATCCTACCCAAAGATAATCAGTTAATATTTTGGCATATCTTCTTCTAGACATCTTTTATGCATATAAATAGAAAATATATAAATATTCTAAAAACAGCAATATACATTATTTTTGTAAATTATGTATAACCGTATTTATCACATTGTAGGCACTCAATACCCATTTTATAATGATTCAATCTTTCCAGTGTTAATAGTTACAAATCTAGTTGAGCATAGATATACATGCCTGCAATTTTAGCAATTGGTAGGGCATAGGCATGAGGAACAAGAGTTCAAGGTTACCCTAGACTACAAATCAAGACCCAGTCTCAAAATAAATTAATTAATAAGTTAAATACAAATATATACCATCATAGTATTTTGCTAGGTATAATTTCCTTGTTTTGGATATTCTGATTGGCTCTATTATTTCAATCTCACAAATGCTATAATGAGTATCTTAGTGCACACAGCTTTGCACATATACTTGTCCAGTTATTTCCTTGGCATAAAACCTTAGAAAGAGAAATGACAGGTCCTTTTATGCTCTTTGATGCGTATGATTGAATCACCCTTAGGAATGTGCCAAGTACCTTCCCACCAGCGCTGTATGCCCTTCTCCTCCACACACACATGAGCGTCTCTGCCTATGTGATTACTAAAACTAGTACTTCAATATTTTCAATTTCATTTCAATGACTAGTTTGAGATTTTCTCATGTTTTTGGCCATTTATGCCTTTTCAGTGAATTCACACTCATGTCTCTTTTACACTTGTATTTGTTGGGATGTTTACCTATAGACCCTAAAGCTTTGCAATTTGCCCCAATCCTTTCACTAGGTAATATAGAAGCTCAGTTAGACCACAACTCAAGTTTTATTGGAAATGGAAACTGCATTAAATTATAATAAAATCTTTAATCATTTTTCTTGTCATGATTGTAACTGGCCAATCTTGCCTAGGAAGTTGAGCAGGTGGACTGAGGTGGGCTGGCAGACCTTCAGACCAAGTTGAGAAATCAATGCACACCCTGCACTAACCCCCCACAAAACATTCCCACTGCAACCTGCCATTCCTGTGGCTCACAGGCAAGTGATATAAGATGACCCATGATTTCTTGTAAAGAGGCAAAGGGGGCTGACAACCTTAAAAAAGAATTTACCCCACCTTCTTTTGGGCTGCAGGAGAAAAGCTCAGAAAGCAGTGGAAAGCCCCTTAAGTTCTTCTCAGGTTAGTTAACACAAGCACTGCCATGCCACAAAACTATAGCAGTTAATTTGGAGATCAGTTTCAGTAGACACAAAGGAAATAAGAGAGTAAAGGGAGACTGGTGATAAAGTCACCTTCTCCACAGTTGGACAAGCTTAATTTCACAGGTGTAACCCAACCTGTGTAATTAAAAAGGTGACAACCATCAGCCCAGTGAGCACATCCACACAGTGGATGTTCCAAAACTAGAAAGGGCTTTCTAAGGCAGGCTGAGGAAGGGGGGAAGGGACTGACTAGACTCAGAGATGTTATTAAAGGCCTCCAACCACATCCTGGCCATTGAAGCCAAACAATGATGAGGTCAGCAGGCTTCTCGCGTAAGCCCAGAGATGAAAGAGGAAGGAAACAGAAATATTCATACAGATCCAAGAACATGATTAGTTTTCAGGGTATTCTTCCCAGGAAAAATTATAGAACTCTAACAAATGGTCAGTTTCAAGATGAAAGAATTAGGCCAAGATTAAGATTTTTGTAAAGCAATTACTATTTCAGTGGGAAAAATAAATAAATTCTATATGACTCAAAGACAGTGAAGGAGAGGTTATTCCACTTAAGGTTAGACCCAGTGGGGAGAACTCTACTTCAGAAAGACACACACAGTCACACAGTCACAAAATCATACAGCATGAGAATTGTATCTCAATGAAGCTGTCTGCGAGGGGAGAGGGAGAGTCACAGAGGGCTCACACCAAACACCTAAATGAATGTTCACTGATTCGTCATTACCAAACGTTCCACTTAACTACGGCACCAGAAAGGAAAAGAAGATGTTAAGGAGCTTCCAGTGCCACCAAGAGGAGAAAAAATTGGGCTGGAGGTATGGCTTGAGCAGTAGAATACCCAAGTGTGAAGCCCTGAATTCAAACTTCAGTATCTCCAGAACACCACCAGCAAAAAGGTAGCATACTTAAAAATAAATAAAAGACGGAAAAAACAAGAAGTGGACATGCCACATTCCTGGAGGAAAGCGTAGCTGATTTGCCTTTGACCTGGGAAAGCTTGAGTGGGGCTTCCCAGACTCAGGACAGCAGCCAGAGGGGGGCCAGGGAACCCATCAGTCAGCAGCCAGCCACCCTGTGTTTACATAGCTACTGGAAGGATTATAAACTGCTAAGTATGGTCAGTAGACTTCTGAAAAGGGGTGGAAACCACCCACCGATCTTTAGGCTGCAGTTTAGGGAATATTGAGGGTCATGATACACTCTAACAATAATGGATTACCACAGAGACAGGGAAAAACAGTGTGGTCAAGGAAACAGCCGCAGCATGTTCAGTGAGATGGAGGGCTATAAATAAACAGATTTCCCTCATCTCTCACGCCAAGAAAGACATTTTTGAGCAAAGGGAAATTTACTAGAGTAGCATGAGATGCTTTAATTAATTCCCTCTGAAAAGAATTATGTAAAATGACTTAGGCTGTAAGTTAAGATTATTTCCAATTCCACTGCTCTTCTTTGGGGTCATCCTAACTGACATGTTCTGTAATGGGTAGAGACTTGGCTCACTTGTTCTATGAAACAGGGATAATAAAGTGGACCTCTCAAGGCTACCGGAAAGATTCTGTAGATAATTTACATTAAATACCAAGCACAGACCTGGCACAGAACAAATGTAAACATTTTAGCTACAGGTTTATTATACTCTTCCCTTTCCTATAGACACACATACCTCTACTACTCTACATTACAACAATCCTTTTTATTCCATTTGTTACATGGAACTAGCCAATCTCTTATTCCCTTCAAAGATCCCAAGTTCTTGGGACTCCATTGGTGGGACCTCGCTCCTCAGCCACCTATACTAACCAGACCTCCCAACACATGTTCAGTGCTCTTCTCTAGCACTAGAAGAGAGAAATGGCAGCCTCTCCAGTGCTGTAGCACACTGGCCTGGCAACCTGCAGTACAGTTTGGATTTTAAATGTCCTTCAAAGGCCCTGTATTAAAAGCTTGGTTGCCAGCCTGTGGTGTTACTGGGAGATGGTGGAGTCTTTAGGAAGTAGGCCCTACTGGAAGGCAGTTAGGTCACTGGAGGCATGCCTTTGAAGGGCACACTAAGACTCTTAGACACTGTGTCTCTCTCTGCTTCTCAATCAGCAGAAGGTGAACAGACCTCCTCTGCCATGTGCTCCTGCCACAATGACTATGCCGCTACAGGCCCAAAGCAAAAGGCCAAGCAACCATGAATTGAAACTAAGAGCCAAAATTAACATTTCCTCCTTTTTTTTTTTTTCCTTTCTTTCTTTCTTATATGGAATGCTTCACAAATTGTGTGTAACCCTTGCATAGGGGTCATGCTAATCTTCTCTGTATCTTTCCAGTTCTCGTACATATGCTGCTGAAGTGAGCACCCTTTCCTTCTTTTAACTTGATTGTGTCAGGTATTTTGTTATAGCAATAAAAAGCTGACCAACACAAACTGCCTACCTGCTCTGCATGGAGCTCTGCAAGATGGCAGAGAGCGACGGCAAAGGACTCTGTGTTGTTCTGCTGCACACCCGCACTCACCGACTCCAGGCTGTTCATACTCAGCAACATCTGGGCTTGCTGCAGGGCCATGGTGCTGGGTGAGGAGAGGAGCAGGGTTCCCTCAGGTACAGACCAGGCTGCCCCTGATCTATAGCCTATGGTTATCATTAGTAGGAAGGCAAGGAAGTCGACCCCTCTGCAGGCTCTGGTTGTGTGGAAGTAGCTACCTCCCCATGCCAACTCTCCTGCCCTTAGGCCAAGGAGAGCAGAGAAGCATCCTGGAGATGCAGCCCCCAAGGAAACACAGAGCAGTTATGGCACAACTGGGAACAACAGCTCCCAGATTCCCACCCCCCCCACCTTCCCACCCTCGACTTTCCCTGAGGTCATAGTATGTTAATTAGGTTTCACGGGTAAATTCAGACCCGATGCCATCCTGGCACCGGCTGCTCTGGCAATGCAGGCAGTGGCCAGTGTCGGCAGCTGTTTCAGAGCACACCGTGCCAAAAAATTATCTGAAATACAAAAACAAGACTGGTAAAGAGGCACTTCCTTTCATTAATGAATTCCTAGAAATAGCAGACTGTCTAGGTAAGGTTGTGACAGGCTCCAAGGAGGAGAATCTAGTTCAGAAGTGTACTTCCACGCTAAAGGTGGCTAAATGGAAAAGGTAACACAGGCTGGAATAGTCCAGAGAAAACACAACAGCTGTGGGGGACGGGGGATGCTCAACTTGGGCAAGGGTGGCCATGCAGCATGCAAATAGCAAGAGAGGTTCTTGTTTCAAGGCAGAGGAGCTCAGTGCTTGGGGTCAGATGACCTGGGTTTGAGTCCCAGTTTTGTCACTGGTCAACTACATTTGTGATCTTGGGCAGATCACATGTGTAAGCCAGAAGAGAGATCACCCACCAGTTACTACTCACAGAGCAGCTGGGAGGAGCAAATAATGTACATGGGAAAAAATTTTGCCGAGTCTATGCAACCACAAGATGTTTCAGACGATAAAGCATTTTCTTTGATCCCCACATGAACAACTTGCAAAAGGGAAACCTTGTACAGAACCAGTTGGCTAGCTCCTGCTTATCTCTGAATGAGTCACACCTCCGTGGCAGTGGCAGTCGGCTTCAAGACCTACCTGCGGCCGTACAGCCTCCAAATGGCCGTTTTCTGGGCAATGCTGATATCGATGAGCTCCGACAGGCTGTGTTTCCAGTGCAGGAGATCAGAGTCCTTTAGGGCATCCATCAGCTTGTTGGCCGTCTTCCCAGCAAAAGCTCTCTGTTGAACAAGGGACTGTATTCCCAGGGAGGCGAGGTACTAAGGGGACAGATATACCCACGACCCAAGATAGAGATTACATGACAGAATTTGTTTTGGTCTTCAGAAATGTGGTGGATTTCACATTTCCGCACATGCACAGTGACAGCTCTACTTAAAAGGAAAGTACCTACAACCTGATCTTAGCCCTGACCCATGTGGGATGTGTTCCTGAAAAACTAAGGCTGGAAGAGAAGCAGAGGGTACATGGGAAAGAGCCAGGGCTTTGGCATTAGGTGGACCTGGACTTAAACACTGCCTCTGCTACTTACTGTGTGACTTAGGGCCAGTCACTTAGCTTCTTAGCTAAGCCTCAGCTTCCTCATCTGTAAAATGGGCATCAAACCTATCATAAAGAATTATCGTAAGGATTACAATGAAATAATATGTCAAACAGTGTGGGGCACAGGAAGTAACAGGAGATCAAAAAGGATACCTATCATGAGCAACAAGTTATCTTCTCATTAACTTCTGGTGTAATCTTTAAGGATGAAAGCTCAAGCTTAAATCCATAGCAAGAAGTGTTTTTAAGAAGTCTAGTTCACTTTAAGAAGCCACTTCAGATCTACACATGTAACTTTCCATTCCCATGAGTGACTCGAATGGACAATTTACAGAGTTAGCAAGCATATGCATGAAATTGTACATAACTACTTTCAGTTTTACTGAGTTTGCTGCAAACATTCTGAGAAAGAATGCCGAAGCAGTCCCACTGCCTATGGTTCAGTTTTTAATGTCTCTGAGACAGAATAAGGTTCTCCAAGCAACAGTAATCTAGACCTTAACAGTCATAACTTCCTGTAATACAGACTATGCTCTTTTAATGTCCTTAGTGCATGTCACTGAGACTAAACTCAGGCCCTTCACTGTCATTCAAAATAAGGATGGACAAATCTGCCCATTGAGTTTGCTGGTCCCTGATTTTGTTTATTGTTTAAAACAAGGACCAGCAAACTTACTCTACAAAAGATCAGAGTAAGTAATTCAGGTTTTGCAGGACAAACCTGTTTTCTGTTGCATATTCTGCTTTGTTGTTGTTCCCTGTCCCCCAACTATTTAAAAACATAAAACCCATTCTTAGTTTGAAGGCCATACATAAGCAGACAGGATGCCAGATTTGGCCCACAGACTGCAGTTTGCCAATCCCTGACTTAAAAATCAGGCTTTCTAGGACTAGGATATAGCTCGATGTTACTGCCTAACATTTTCAAGGCCCTGGGTTTGATCTCCAGCACCAAAGAGGAAAAAAAAGCCTTTTCTAGAGTTTTCTAGTGCTTGCTTTGGCAGCACAAGTACTAAAAAGTGAATATATGTTAACTAAATGTTGCTCAATCAGCTAAACAAAGATCTCTTATCGAATTGATAAGTGGAGCTTTCACAGATGTTATTAGGATAAAGGGAACAGAGAGAATTAGTGGTTTGATTAATAATTAAAGTCATAGGAAACGACCAAGAACAAAACCGCACATGGAAATATCCATTCTATCTCTGACTGGTTCATGACAAAAGAGGGTAGAAAAGAGACAAAGGCTCAACACCACTTATTTAAGCAATCTCACAGAAAGATGAGCCTTACCGGTAACCCAAAATGTACTGCTTTCTTCACAGAATGCTCCAGCAGAACATAGCTATCGGATCTCTTCTGGCCCAGCACATAAAGCCAGCTCTGGCAAGAGATAATCATCAAAATGTATCATGACAATGATAATGGTGAATATTCTAGTGAAATATCAATGTGGCCATAAGAATGAATCAAAAAGGGGCAAAACAACTCCTCTAAAATACTTTCTCTTAGGAATTGTGAACCTAAGTGAAACCTTTCAAACATTAAAACCATGAAAGCCCAACCGAAACACACACGACATTGATCTGCTCCACCTCTGACAGTGGAGAGTGGCAGGTGTTTTGGAAAAAGCATAAAGCCCCATCTAGCCTTTAATTAAGAAATGAGAACCTCAGGTGATTGCCAAGTAACTTCTGTGTTCTACATGTGCTTGGGGATTATGCCTTTACAGATCAATGTCTCCCCGAGTTACCAGGTATAGCAAGCATCTTTTAGTTAATGCCAACGTTAAATCCAACTGTTGATGTCTGCTTTTTTTATGGCAAGTTGCATTAAAATTTGTAGATAGGAAATGCTCCCAAAGCATAACAAATATCATGAAATTGAAAAAGATAACTATGGGACACCCTTTCTGAATCACGGTGACCACCTAAGTACTTCCCTTTAACTGCTAAGGACCCCTGCCCCAACTGCAAAACAACCCAATTCAAATGGGGCCTTCCAAAGGCCAACTCAACCCATGAGCAAAATCCCAAGACCAGAGGACGGCCTCACCAAACAGTGCTGGAGACACACGTGATCGTTGGACTCCTGGGCAATCCTAATTGCCTCCTGCAGGGCGAGCTCTGCCTGTTGACTAACGACAGACTAAACATTAATATCCCGTTAACAATCACAAACATCCTGAGCAGGGGTAGCAGGATGCCATCTGCACACAAACCATCCAAGAGCAGATCTCTGTGCTGCAGCTGTAACTATTTATGGGCTGCTTCTGTCAGAGGCCCATAGCACCAGGAAACAGCCACAGCAGAGATTCGGAGACACAGGACAAACCCTTTCTAGGGTGATGGCTAACAAAGGGAATGAAGGAATGGCTTTTCTCTCTGCTCCAAAGATGTTTATTTCATATGTCTACTGCTGAGAGGAAGGGCAAAGAGAGGACTGATATTTTACTTTTCACTGCATTCCCTTCTACATTATTTGGATTTTTTTTTTTTACTATGTGCATTTTTTCCTTTTATCATTTCAAAACATTTTAGAAAGTACTTTGAGGATTCCTGCTTACTCATATGCTCCCCTCCCCCAACCTCTCAGACAGTGGAAGTCCCGCCAGCCATTCTCAGCCCTGCTGAGCTCTCATCTCTGAAAGTACCTCAGAAATTCTGTCTATACCTGGCTTTCCAAGGCTACACTTACTACTGCTGTGTATTTATTTAACCTATGTTACTGTTACTTAATTAACACCTCAAAAACGTCTAAATGGCATAGATCAGGCCTTAAGTTTTGGGTTTCCCAATGACAAGTTACAGAACATGAGTGCTGAGTCACTCAGGATCTCAAAATAAATTCACTCAGGATCTCAAAGGAAAAACTTTGATAATGAATTTTCTTCCAATATTGCAATAGCCTCACATGAGTAATTTTAGTTGGGTAGTGAATTTCTTCTGAATAATTGCTTGTTCAAATAAAGAAACCAGCTATGTTTACTGATTTTGCATGGAAGTCCCTTTCATAAGTCCCCTGTAGGCAGGAAGCACACCTTCACTCATGGGTCCTTGGTAAGTACCAGCTGATCTAACTTCATTGACCAGCTGAAGACCACACAGAGCTATGCTTAGAAAAGAGGAATTTGGGAGGACTGAAGAGACAGTATGCTAAAACAGGACTAAAGTGATAGTCTGTTTTTCTCAGGAAGGAATAAAAGGCAGATTACCAACACAGAAACTTCAAGAGGCAGGTAGATTCTCAAGGGATCTTCTGGTTTTCCATAGCTACTAATCTGAAATCCTCAATAAAAGTTTTCAGTAAAAGAACAAGAAGCAAACGGTTATAACATCTGAAGTGGACTTGGATGTTCATTTAATTTTCCAAATTCCAGAATGGCAATAATAGCTTCCTTTGCCACTCAGTCAAAGTTCTCACCTGGCCTCCAGAACTCTAAATGCTTTGACCCCTGCCACCTCTCTGAGCTTTTCCCCTCCCCTCCTTCTCACTTAAGGGACTGCAACCACAGTGCTTGCTCCTCAAACATGTCAAGGCCCTGCTACGGGCCTTTGCACCTGTTTTTTTTTTTTTTTTCACTAATGTGAAAACTTCCTCCAGATATATGCACAGGGAACTCAATTCCCTTAAATTCTTTAAATTTCTGCTCAAATACTAGGTTAAAAGAAATCAGGAAGGCTGGAATGGCTGGCCTGCTACCTTACTATTTAAACAAAGTAAGGGAGTCAGTACTGTGCAGAAAGAATGTTCCTTATGAAAACAACAGCACTCTCCGAACCCTCATCCTGCTCTATCACTACCTGACATATTACAATTATGTTTAGCATTGCTTATAGTCTATTCTCATCATGATAAGCTCCACACCAGGGTGCCTTTTCTATTGTTACCTCCGGATTCCTGACACCTAGAACAGTGCCTTGTATATACTAACTGCTCAAAAAACAACCATCAAGATTTTCAAGAAATCCCCACAATCCTTTTAGCTGAGTGATACAATTTACCCAGCCTCACAGACCCAGGATAAGAAATAAAGATGCCTAGATCTAAGTAAATCAGGAATTAAGAATAAGCACATTGGTCTGAAGATGTGGCTGCCTAGCAAGCTCAAAGTCCTGAGTTCAAACCTCAGTACCACACACACACACACACACACACACACAAAGAATTAGCACATTAAGCTGAGAAAAGTGGCTTACACCTATATTTCCAACTACTTAGGAGGTGCAGATTAGGACGATCATAATTCGAGGTCAGCCTGGGCTAAGTGAACAAGACCCCAACTCAACAAACAAGCTGGTATAAAGGCACATACCTGTATTCCACCTATGCAGGGAAGTATAAACAGAATGGTGGGGGTCTAGGTTGGCCCAGTTAAAAATCTGAGACCCAATCCCAAAACTAACAAAAGCAAAAAGGGCTGAGGGCCTGGCTCAAGCGGAAGAGTGTCTGCCTAGCAAGCACAAGGTCCTGAGTTCAACCCCTAGTTCTGCCACAAAAAAAAGTTATTGAGACCCCAATCTTAACCAATAAGCTGGGTATGGTGGCAGCTCATGCTGGCAAAGCCAACTACTCCAGATGTGGAGGTAGGACCTTGGTCCATGGCTGGCCCCAGGCAAAATAAGAGACCCAACTGAAGGTGTGGCTCAAGCAGTAGACTACCTGCATTACAAGTGTGAAGTCCTAAGTTCAAACCCCAGTACCAACAAAAAAAAAGAAAAAAAAAATCCATCTTTCCTAATTTATACTTCAGCAATTAGCTATCTATCCACTGACAATATCATAAATGTAAAGAAATTCTATATATCAAAAGATAATTAATATCCAGGAAATTGTATACAAATTTCCAAACAGGAGAGAAAGCAGTTCTTCACACAGAAATTGGTTACTGGTAAATAATACAAATGATGTTGCTATTATTTATCAGTATGTAAAAATTGGGTTCTACCTCCAGCATTGAGAAAAAGTAAAAAGGCCCTGATCAAAAAATTATTAGGGCTGGGCAACAGTGGCTCACGGCTAGCTACTCAGGAAGCAGAAATCAGGAGTATCTGGTTTGAAGCCAGCCCAGGCAAATAGTGTGAGAGACCCTATCTTGAAAACACTCAATTCAAAAACTGACTGGCAGAGTGGCTCAAGTGGTAGAGAGCTTGCCTAGGAAATAAGAAGCCCTGAGTTCAAACTCCAGTATCATCAAAAAAGAGAGAGAGATTATTAGGGCTGGGGGTATGGCTCAAGTGGTACAGCACCTGTCTAGCAAGTACAAGACCCTGAGTTTCTACTTGAATACTACCAAAACAAAGACAGATTATTAAAGCTACGCAAAGAAAAGTTAGTTATTATAAGATATTATGGAAACTGGAAAATCTTTAAACACTGTCTCTTAAAAACATGACAACCATCAGGCAACCCTGTAGTCCTACCCAGAAGGCTGAGATCAAGAGGATCAAGGTTTGAGGCCAGCTCCCAAGCAAATCGTTCAGGAGACCCCCATCTCCCAATAATCAGAGCAAAATGGATTGGAGGTGTGGCTCAAGTAGTTGAACACCTGCTTTGTAAACAAATGTAAAGCCCTGAGTTCAAACTTCAATCCTACCAAAAAAAAAAAAAGACAACCAGAAATAATTAATAGAATTCCCAGAGTGTTAGCTGACCCACATGAAAGTCTCAATTTTCAAACTTTGCACAGTATTCTCTGATTAATATATCCTACTGTCTCTAATCAAAGATCACTGTTGCAGGGCAGGCAGGCTCAAGTGCTAGAGAGCCTGCCTAGAAAGCATGAGATCCTGAGTTCAAACTCCAATACTGCCCCATCACCTAAAAAAAAGATGATTATAGCAAAGATCACATTTCAGTCACCTGGTAAAAAGCCATGGGGCAGGCACATAGGAAATTCATTCAATTGGTAATTTCCTACATTTCACCATTATTCATATTACATCTTTGGTTCCAAAATAGCCTTCATGCTTTCAGTCTTTTTAATGGGTCTAACAGTATTTACTAAATGACTGATTTTATTTTTATTAAAAACACAGGTAACCAACCTCCCTCCCCCACCCCCCCAAAAAAAAAAAAACTAAAAAATTTAAAAACACAGGTATACCTTAGCAATGAAATAAACCAATGCTACCTCATCAGCTATAACCAAAAGCAAATGTGACTTTTACAAGCCGAGCAGTCTAGCATCCAGTAGTGGCACAACTTCCTTTTGACTTTTTAAAATACTGAAAATAGCTTTCGCAGCCCCATTATTACCCCGAAAAATCCTTTTGGGAATCTCTGGCCTAATGACCTAATTTCCTTTTGATTGAACCATTAGGTTTTCTTAGAAGTAATGAAACTGTAGTCTCAATAATGCTAAGTAGTGACACCAGGGGGCAGACTACCTAGGTAGTAGGTTTCCATCAGTGTCTGTTCTAGGGTGACAAGACTGGGTGAGTCTCTTTCTTTCTTTCTTCTTTTTAAAAAAGAATGATTTTTAAAGCACATCTCAATGAATATTGGAGAACTTGTGTCTCCAATGTCTGCAGGGACAGAAGTCTACAGACTTACTAGTGACCGAAGCGGCAGTGCAGGGCAGCCAGGTTCAGAGCAGCGTATCTCAGGCTCCGGCCATAGCCCTCTTCCCCGTTACTCTTGCTTTCGGCTCCCGTGAGAATCAGGCGGTCAAAATAATGAAGGAGGCTGTGTGTGGAGCTGAAAACATCTTGGACTCGGAGATTGTTTAAGTAGCTGAGGTAATGCTAAAATGAGAAGCAATCAGCATATCTTAAGTGTTCACTTCCTCTTGTGCAAGACTACTATGGAGGTTCTGTTGGCTGCAAACATCTGTCTACTCTTACCCCTATGACGACATGGTCACAATTTAGCTTAACGTTTTCCCTTCATGCAGAATAAGAGGTTCGAGGTATTGCTTTGTCAGTTTCCACCTGACAGAGCCCACAAATGAAAATCAGGAGTTCTGTTAGTGTTTGTGTTAGGTTTACCATAAATGTACGTGAACTGGCTGCATTAGGACCCATGACTGATACGTGAGGGGTAGCAGACCTTGCCTAGCTGAGGTAGTAAGGAACACTGTGAGCTCAAATATAAAGATTAACACTTGAATTCACATGCAAATTATAAAATTAATTTCTCTACTTGTCCAAATTAAAATACAGTGAGACTTATACTAGTTTACCAAGTCAGTTTTCATTCTGCTTTGAATCACTGAATGAAACATCTTTCATAACAGGCAGATACCAGTTACAGAGAAGCAAAGTGGACACAGAGATATCAACCTCTTTCCTTTTTTTTAATTATAAAAAGTTTCAGAGTATAAAAAACCTAACAAGGAATTAAACTATGGAAATTTAAGGATAAAAAAATGCAAAAAAGAAAACGAAAAAAGAGTTTTTCAGTTACAAAACTTTTTTTTTTTTTTGGTTAGTCTATTTTCTCATCTTCTGTCCAAAGCTCACATCAGAGATGATGAATGAAGAGAATATAACAGCTGATAAAATGCCCCGTGGCCTGGGGAGGGGGGAGGACATCTGCAATCTGTGCTGTTACTTGTCAAAAGCATGATTTCTTTCAAGAACCCGGGTCAATAGACTGATCCTCATTTGTATGGCTACTCAGTAGACTGAACAACTTTGCCCTTCCTTTTCAACTCAACAACAAATTCTGAAAAAGACTCACCGCTTCAGCAAAGTCAGGATTAAATTTCAACAAGTTGTTCAATTCTTTCTGCAAGGAAGCTGGAGTGAGGGCTTTAGTCTCATCATTCTTCAACAAAGCAGCCTAAAGTTTTAAAATGACAATTCAGAAAGTAACGGTCAATAAAAGTACAGAAATATATACTAACCAGCCTCACCTGATTCTTTTTTTTTTTTTCCTAATTTTGTTGTTTCAGACATGGTCTCACTATGCAGCCCAGGCTGGCTGTGTTAAATCCTTGGTTCCCAAGTTGATGGTACTGGGGACCTTTAAGAGCCTGTCAGAAAGTACTTAGGTCATTGAAGACTATGGAACCTATGTCTCTCAGTCTCTCTGCTTCCTAGTTGGAAAGGTGACCACTTGTTCCACCCTCACAAGAATCCAAAGCCAACAGGGCCACTCAATTATGGAATGGAACCTCCAGTGGGGAGGTAAACCCCCTCTTTACTTCATATGTAGGCTAGGTCAGGTATTTCATGATAGCAATGCAAAGCTAATACACAGATCCAAATTAAATATTTATACTTATACTTGGGCTATGAACAACTTATTCCAATTTTATCCTGGCAAGTTTTTCCAAAAGCAGCAATAATTTTATTTTCTTAAGATAGGGTCCTGCTATGTACCCAGACTACCCTTGAATTACAAGCAAGTAATGACAATTCCTAATTCCACATTAAGTTTTTTACAGCATTAAAGAAAACTCTAAAAATGTAAGAAAACCAAAAAAGAAAACAGAAAATTTTAATACCACCACCCAAAAATAATACTATTAATACTTCTTTTTTTTTGGTGGCACTGGGGCTTGAACTCAGCACTTTCACTTTGAGCCACTCTGCCAACCCTATTTTTGTGAAGGGTTTTTCGAGATAGGATCTCATGAACTATTTGTCTGGTCTGTTTTGAACCTCGATTCTCCTGAGCTCTGCCTCCTGAGTATCTAGAATTACAGGAGTAAACCACTGGTACCTGGCTAATACTATTAGAACTTTGGTATGTCTTATCCTAGTCTTTTTTCTGGATGTATAATAATATGTATGTGTATATATGTATGTGGTTGTATATATATACGTATACATGCATACATACTTCTGACAAAATTAGAATAGTATATGTAATTTTACTTTTCATTTAAAAATACATTGTAAGGTCGGGATTGTGGTTCAAGTAACAGAGGGCTTGCTTAGCAAGAACAAGGCCCTAAATTTAAGCCCCAACACTACCACCCCCCCAAAAAAAATAGAGAATATATGTATGTGTACATATGTACATAAAACTATCTCATCAAATAGTCTTTGAAAATGATTTCTAAGGCAAAAGTGTTAACTCTTTCACATTTATTGCAATAACTTCTTCTCATTTGATTTTTTGCCTCTTAATTTTGTTAGAACATGTTACGACACACAGACATTTAAAATTTTTACATTGAAAAAGCAAATGATCTTCTATATGTTTTCTTCCACAGCTTTTATGTTGAGACCACACCCAGAGACCAATTAAAAGTTAATATGCAGTTCCTTCTAGTCTAATTGCAGCTTTAAGTATTTATGTAACCCTTTAATCCATCTATAAAGTCCTGAGGCGTGAGAATGAGGTGAGGATCCAGCTGACCAGTATTTTTCCTCACAGTTAACTAGCTGTGTAGATGGGTTTTCTAATCTGGATGAAATATACCTGCAGAGGTGATGCCATTAATTTTATCTAGACCTAAACATTGTATCTTGTTGCAGAGAGAAAAATTAACAAAATTAAGGTGGCAGAAAATAAGACAAAACCAAAAAATTCTATGCAGAAAAAAAAAAAAAAAGACGAAGAAAAATGCTCAGCTTATGTTACCAAAAGAAGGAAAATAAAAGACTTAAAAGCAGTAACAAGGGCTGGGGATGTGGCTCGGGTAATAGAGCACTTGCCCAGCATGATCAAAACCCTGGGTTCAATCCCCAGTACTGCAAAAATATAAAAACATGAAAATCATTTTATCGGGCTAGAGAGAGAGATATTTGAGAAACAGAGAGAATCCAGGTAACAAGCATAAGGGCATTTACTACATACAATGTGTTTTGACTTTCTTTTTAATGTTTGAAAATGTCCATAAAAAAATAAAATAATGAG